CGCTGCTCTGCGCTGTTCTGCTCTGTTCTGCTCAGGGCTACTCTGTGCTACTCTGCTCTGCTATGTGCTGCTCTGCTCTGCTCTGCTTTAAGCTGCTCTGTTCTGGTCTACTCTTTACTACTTTGCTCTGCGCCACCCTGCCCTACTCTACTCTATAGATCTATAAAGATATTCTTCATGTTATTGCAAACATATTCGTATTTTACAAATGACTTACATGTATGACTCTTTCATAATCGTTCGTTGAGATCTTCAAGAATTCACAAGGTTCGAGCGTGATAACTGACAGCACGCTGTTGATTTTCAAACCAAAAATACAAACAATCTATTAGTCTTAACGAGAAAAGAGATACTTAAGACGTGCGACAGAAATCTCAAAAGTATTTTCCTTGTCCAATCACGTATAGGGTGATCCCAACCTCCTTCAGGAAAAAGAAAAGATAAAGACACAAGTAGGATAAGAGCACAGACCATACAAATCCAGACACGGCACGTATCCTCGTGTTTTGACCTCCGTCCACTAAATGTACCACGGTGGCTGATTTAGTATTTTTTTGATTAACGGTCGCCAAACACTGAGACGTCTGGATCTGGAAGGTGTCTAGGTCACAGAAACAGCAAAAGCGTTTTTACCTATGCGTTATTATAAGCCTTTCTTCATTTTTTCTTTTTACTCACCGTGAGTTCGGTTCTCTGCCTTCTATTTTACTGAGAGTCCCAAAACAGTTCCCAACACTAAGCTGAAGACAAATATCAAATAGTAAATGAGTAAATGAATAAAAGATAAGACATACTGTTCAAGACAGCTGAATGGCTTTCGTGCTGGATCATGCTGATGGATAAATAATGGAATAATGGCTTCCACAATTGGAATTTAAAAATTGATTTTTATGAAGGGATAAAAACCGGTAAACCAGGAGAAAAACCGGTAAAACAGGAGAAAACCAACAAGAAACTCTACAGAAACATTACATCGTGGCTGGCGGGACTTAATAAGATAAGATGCAAGACCGCGATAGGTACCAGGTGAGCGATGAACACGCCGCGCAAAGCATGAGTGGACAAAAATGATCGGCCCTAAGCATTTTTGGACCTTGAAAGAACAAGGCAAACATGGCAGTAAAGTGAAATTGTTTTTATTCTTCCTTTCTGTATTTCTGCTACTCGTAGTCACTTATATTTTGGTCCAAAAAAATTAGAAAAATACACAAATGTTGGGTAACAGTAACTTGGGAATGAGGGCCGGCGGCAAAACAGCTAAACGCGCTGTGGTTGGTTGAAATAAATTTCACCGCTCAGCAGGTACTGTTACTTTAAATCGCAAAAATGGTGTCACTCGTTGCAACGGCGCTGTCTCATCACTGTTTGAGTCTTGACTAAACCACATATGTGAGTTGAGTTTGTTTGATTTGTTGTTCTCTCCCTTGCAACGAGGGTTTCTGTCCAGGATTGTCCAGTTGAGTTTTGCATGTCGTAAATATAGAATGTAGTGTAAGTGCGTGTGAAGCAAACCTCACTGAAAAGCCCGTTACAGGGAATGATATTTAAAAATTATAAGATTTTTAAAAGCAATCCTCAAAGGCTTCCTGGTACTGGTAGACTATTGATACCTTTTCCTGGTATTTCAGTTCCTGGTCTTCAAATATTGGTGTTGGGGAGCGAAACTCTCTTGTAGACGAGCTGACAGGTGCTCTTGTAGGCGAGCTGACGGGTGAAATACAGGGCTTAGTCTGGGGTACGACAGAACCCTTTAAAACCATGTGTAATCCAGTATTACCAAACACTAGACAAACAAATAGATTTATTAGAAGGACGGTGGTAAAACAAATCGTTTGTTATCAATTTTTATGATTAAGTGGGGATATGGTGTGATGTGGAGGGTTGGGGTGTGATGTGGTGGGTCGGGGTGTGATGTGGTGGGTCGGGGTGTGATGTGGTGGGTCGGGGTGTGATGTGGTGGGTCGGGGTGTGATGTGGTGGGTTGGGTTGTGGTGGGTCAGGGTGTGGTGTTTAGGGTGTGGTGGGTTGGTGGATCAGGGTGTGGTGGAATGGGTTGTGTTTTAGTGGAGTGTGGTGGGTTGTGGCTTGGTGGGGTGTGGGAGGAGAGAGAAAAACTATATTGTTGCTGTTGTTGCCACAACCTATTTAGATGACAGTAACAGGGCTACGAATAATAGCCCGTCATCAGATGATGTCCAGCCAGCACCAGAAATGGAGCTTGTCCCATCAAATCTTTGCCTTGCTGGTCCGTTTGACCATTGAGCCAGAAATGTATGAAAGGTATGAAAGCTAAAACCAATTTGTCCAGTCACCATGACCACCTGTTAGTTTTAGCAATAAATTGTTTTCCAAATTCCTCTCATAAGCACAAAGCAAGAATTGATTTATGGCCCTTCCCAGTCACACAAATGAAATCATACAATTATTTTCTGTCTCAACAAAATAGGGTTTTGGTGGACGTCAATCCAAATGTTTCCATGACAATATTGAAAAATACAAAGCTTTCAAGAGCACATGCCTATAGAATGCTGTGAAAATGCCTTGATTGACGTTCACCTAAACCAGTTTGCTGCGACAGCATATTGTACTATTTTGTGCATGTGATTGTAAAGCACTGTAACGTATTTACCAGTGCATCCCTCGTCACTCCATCTGTCTAGTTGAGCCACGGCACATAGTTCCATCATAACATGAGGCTCTACATATCCTGATATATCAGGTAAAGACATGAGATGTTTAAACAAAGCTTCATTCTCTTTAGATTTCCTCTCAAATGGCCTGAAATATAATGATAGATAGATAGGGGTTTCATTAAGGGTGGGGGATCACAGAATGCTAGAGTAATTTAGCAAAATTTTCCAGCTTAAACTTCTATTTAAAGCTTAGTAATTTATTAAAATGTTCACTCAGACTCTCTGGCTAGTTCATGAACTACTATCAAGTTGAAACTTAGGCCCTGTTTACATGGGAGGAGGATGATCCATTGGGTAGGATCTTCCTTGCAGGTGAAATAACTTTTGCGTTTAGTTTACATGAGAACGGTAAGAAGCGAAAGGGCTGTAATTACTCACATTCATACCACAGAAGTCCCAAGATAAATATCCCTTAGCCCTAGTAGGCGAGTTATCTCTCCTTTTTCGTTTAAATGTGTTTTGCTAGAGTCAAACACAATCCTAGTACTAGGATCTTTCTATCTTTCAGACAGGAAGATCCTAGTACCCGAAAGAAGTCCGCAGATTCCCATGTAAACGCAATTTGATAAATGGATAGATGATTCGCCTGCAAGGAAGATCCTAGCTGTAGGATCATCCTCCTCCCATGTAAACAGGACCTTAATGAAACTCTTGTTAGATCTGCCCAGAGGTTGTTTCAGGGTTTGATTAACTAAAGTTGAAAGTTACAATATAAAATCAAAATCATTTTGACTCCAAGGGGCCAATTCAATAGTGGCACCTAGGTTCAAGGCTACCACATGGTGAATACAGAGTATCTGACCCTCCCCACCCCTAGAAAATTCCATCTTCTCTCCAGAACTATAGATATTTACCACAGGTAACCCACAGGTAAGTAAGTACTAGACTAGTATTCTACTCACAGTTTTCTCAGTATCTTGCGTATGGATTTGATTCTTGCATTGAATATACTAGTTCGTGATGTGATAACAAAATTGTGCTTGTGTAGCTTGRACATGTGCTGTGATATACTGTGACTACAGAGGTATTCGTCAAACCCTTCACACTGGTGAGGAAACAGCCCTTTATCTGAAGCAAATACACGCCATCATCAACAAGGACTGCAAAACTCAGATCTCTTCAGTAATTGCTTACTACAATCACGTGACTTTCTGGAGTTGACTGGGGGCAAACAAGCGGTTTACTGAGGGGCATATAGCAGATGTTAAGTCAAAACATGTCACAATGAGTCCTCAAACTATTGTATTTGACTATTTCTACAACATGAAACCAGAAAACAAGACAAAACCACCTTCAAGATTCTACAAGCCATTAAAAATGCTGCTACTACCAGAAGTGACATCTATTGATAGCAACCTATAGATAGACTTCAAATGTCAGATATCAGACCATGTGTCATTCCCTTTAGCATTATTTTTTAATCTGCAACAGACGACCTTGTGGTGGTAATGGTAATGGTTTTCCAAAGGAAATTACTGAAATATTAGCCCCCCCCCCAATCCAAAATTTGCTCTTCTGCCCTTGAATTTAGTAAGAACACTATTGATCTCTGTACTAACCATGAGGTATGACTATTTCTTTAGCAATCATAGGATTCTTGTATTCTTTCTCATTCTCTCTGAAACCAAACAGAAGATATGAGAACATTAATTTTCTAGTATTGAACTTATTATATTTAATCGCAATATTTAATGCTTATACTAAGCAACTAACCAACCGACTGACAGACTGACTGACTGATTGACTGACCGATTGACTGACTGACTGACTGACTGACTGACTGACTGAACTGACTGACTGACTGTATGACTGACTGATTAACTGACCGATTGACTGACTGACTGACTGATTGACTAAATCTACTGACTGACTAACTGACGATAACCAATAGCTGAACTGGGTAGTGTCTTGGACACCTGGTATTGATGAATTTCTAAGTGAATTCAACTTTACACTGAATCTGACTGAACCGAACGACTGACTGGCAAACTGACTGGCCAACTGACTGGCTGACTGACTGATTAACTGACTGACTGACTGACTGACCGACTGACTAATTGTGAGCAAGAAAGAGAGGTCACTGGCCCCCTGTTGTACAAATAGTAGTATGATTGATGTGGATTATAAATTATATAGCATGTTTATTGATATCAAGCATGGCAATACCTTCTGTCTTCGGATGTTAAAGTGGACAGTTTTTGAGGTTTCTTGAACATTTTTGTATAATTCTTCATGAACATCTCATGGGCGTCAGGCGTTGATGGTACAAGTCTACAAGAGAGATAGTAAAAGCTTGTTTATAATCAAAATTCATGAGCTACACAAGACAGTACTCAACAAAAATATTTATTGTCTGCAATAAAATAACCAGTTGTAAAATAAACAATTAATAATCAAACAGATGATATTGTGCGCTAAAAGTCTTTAAAACTGAGAATATAATGAAATTAGATATATTTTTACTTTGCAATAAAATCTGATTTATGGAACAAGATCTAATATGAAGACAAATTAAGAGTTAAAAACGGCTCTTTATCTTACCTTTGCCCAATACCATCGATTTTACAGAGCATCTTTAGACAGTCATAGTTAATCAAAGGTTTTCCAACCAGACGGGGCACTAGAACCAATAAAGAGAACAATTAGTATCGGATAAGAACGATATTAAGGGATCAAGAATACATAAAATGGTTTCGAAGAGCTCCTAAATGACTCACAAGAATGACGGTCGTTACGTGTTTCTTCGCTAAACTTTGCACTCCAAGAACTTTGTAAATCTCTAATTCCTAACCGAGCCATTATGAATAATATTCATCTAAATCAAAGTAAATTATTTTCGAAGGTTTTTAGGGTAAGATGGTTATTAGAACAAAGTGATAACAACATTGGACCAGCACGCGCTCCATCGTCATAGCAACGGGTTTTTTGGCGGAAATGGGGTTCCTTTGTATTCAAAATGGCGGTCGGACGGGAACATTTTTTCTCTTAACAAAAGTGACTTTTTTTAGCTCGTTAAAAGAATATAAATGCCTTGATTTATAAAARGAACGAAGCATGGAGGTCGAAGAAAAGCCTCCAAGGGAAGAAGTCAGTATAGAAGAAGCGGAGGTAAGGAAGATTTTAGTTTATTTATTCGCGTTCAAAAACAAAGAAAAAAAATTTATAGACAGTCGTCAGGAGTGCGCTCTTCAGCTGTTTACGTGACTTGAAGGAAATCTTTATTGCGCGTTTCAGCTTTGTGTTTTTCTGTGCCTCAATGAATAGGAAGTATTATTATCTTGTTTGATTTCTTTGTGATTATAAAATTGTCACTGAAAAAATATGGATTTGACAGAAAAAATCTTTCTTATTAACAAAAATTCTGTTTCATATTTTTTTCGAGTTTTAAAACCAGGTATAGCTTCATGCAGCATTCATACATGTTAGACACCCTTTTCAGAAATCCCCTGACCTCACTCGAATCCCAGCTTCTTGAATACATACTCAGTAACTTTGCATAGGCATCCGTACTTTTTTTCATCTACTTTAGCTAGCTCCACAATTTTCTTCTCGTTGTTTTATGTCCTTAGGCCAACTCTTTATCTAAAAAATAAAAATAAACATTATTTTAAAGAGGGTAACTACATGTTAGAGTGAAGGCATTAAACCCGTGAAGTAAAAAAAATACTAGTCAATATGTAATAGTCAAATAGACACAAAAGAAAACAATGGAATTAGGGTGTACTAATGTGTATTAGTCTAACATCTATTTCACAGGCTTAGTGACTTCACTCTAACCACAAAGAAATCTCTGATTCTAAGATCGAACTAGAATATTGAATTGTTTAGTTTTATTTTTATTTTTGGAATGGAAAACAGTCTTTAAATTGCAGAAGAAGAAAAAATCAAATATCTTAATAATTTTAGGCAAAAGTGCAGGAATTGTATGACTTCAGAGATAACTACTTTGAAAAGAATGGAATTGAAAAGGCACCAGTAAAGAACCAAGAAATAGAAGCCAAACTAAAAGAGGTGCTCAGTATTTTAGATTATGTGCATGCCGCACCAGAGGACACTGCAAAGTGTTTGTATCTGAGAGGCAAAGCATTGAACGTCAGGGGAGATTTTGAACAGACTGCACAAGATGCTTTGTCAAAGGCAGTAAAATTGGTGCCAAACTTGGTAGAAGCATGGAATGCACTGGGAGAGTGTTACTGGAAGAAAGGAGATATGGCTGCGGCAAAGAATTGCTTTACTGGAGCTCTGAGTCATGTAAGTTATGAAGGATTCATTTTTGAGATAAACAGGAAAATGTGTAGAGGTATTTTGAAGGGGCGAAAGGACCCATTTACTGCCAAGCATTGTGTCATGGGTGTCAATCAATATTTAGGGAGCCATATGTCAACATAAGTGAAGTGAGTCCTGGGACACATTTTATTTTATTTTTGGTTCTGCTTATTTTGTTTTGGTCCCCCCCCCCCCCTTTTGGTTCTGCAAATCATTGCCCGTGCACCTCCCCTGCAAGATCCCTGGTTACTCCACTGCATGGCCTATTCTAAGTTCATTGTATTATCTTGTTTTCAGTCTAAAAATAAGGAGTCTCTAAGAAACCTATCTATGGTTCTGAGGCAGCTTGGAACAGGTATTATACAATAAACTCTTCATATTTTACAACCACCACTCCCCATGTGGGGCTCTTCTGTGAGGTTCCCTCCACACACCCTACTACATTCTATATTTGCAACATACAACACTCAACTCACATGTTGCTTTTTACGGAGGGAGGAAACTGGAGATCCCAGAGAAAACCCTTGTGACAAGGGAGAGAACAACACATCAAAYAAACTCAACTCACATATGATCCTGAGTTTGAGCCGAGGCTCGAACCTAGACCACCGTGGTGAGAGGAGAGCGGTAAGCCACTATGCCACCTTTTGATTTATTCCTGGTACTCTCAATGTACTGTAAGGTTGTATGGTGTTGTTCTCTCCTGTGCTAGATGAGTTTTTCTCCAGGTTCTCTGGTTTTTCTTCCCTACCTGAAAATCAACATGTAAGTTGAGAGAGAAAATGGAGGGGAGGGAGGGAGAGAAAATGAGGCGAGGATAGAGAGAAAGTTAAAAAAGGATGAGGAAAAAAGAAAACCTGACTTAAATTATTTCCTGCTGATGTCAAAAGATGAACCAATCTTTAAATTCATTTTTAAATAATGTTTTTAGAAGCAGCGGAAAAAGCTGAGAATGTCAAGAAGAGTGTATCAATGGCTAAAGAAGCCCTTTCCTTGGACATATCAGATGGCATGTCATGGTGTATGTATTGTTATCAAACTCATTAATAATTCATGAGGAAAACACAATAGAAATCACGACCGTGAAGAGTTTTGTAAATCTGATACAGAATCATATTCATTTGCATAAACTTTAACTTGGATTTTCTTGGGCAGATTCACATTAATTTTGAAAATTTTAGTGAAACACAAAGGAACTAACCTAGACATTTGATAAGCAATCTACAGTATGAGTGTTCATGTTGTATCTGATGTACAAACTCTCGCCTACGCCTCAAGTTTGTATATCTGATACAACACGGCCACTCCTACTGTATATATTACTTATTATCTGACAATTGGGTTTTTGCAATATGGTTGTCAGAGCTAAAGGAGATAGGTGATAAGCGATAGGAGATAGGTCATTCCAAGATCCAGGGCTTTCAGAATAATAGGCCCTTTGCAGCTCAGTAATCACGTGCTGATTAATTCACTGAGAGCAAATGAATGAACATCTTGATTCCCATGGGTGAAATATACTGGTGAGCAAACAAACTTTCTACAACCTGTTTTGAGAGATCGTAATAAAACTGCATTTCGTGACACACTGGTTACACATCATTTCATTCAGTTCTTTACAAGTAGCTAAAAAGAATCACAAATTTAAAATAAAAACAATAATTTTGCTCAACAGTACAGACACATGACCGTTAACTGCAAAGGGCCTATTCTTTTCTGTCTTGGAATGGGCTATCACCTATGGCTCCAACAACCTTTTTGAAATATATGCATATTAATGGGGTAAATAGATTGTAAATAGTTCCAAGTTATTTTTTAAGATTGCTTTGGAATGAGTAATAAAAGCATTTTTATATTTTATGATGAAAATAATGATGACGATAAGGAGGAGGAGGAAAAATAGTTATGCTGTATAAAAATAAGACAGTCTTGTTTCTTGTTTTCAGATATTTTAGGCAATGCTTATTTGTCACAGTTTTTCAGCGGCACCCATTCACCTCCGATACTGAAGCAATGCATGTCTGCATACACCAATGCTGTGAGTTGAACCGATGATTATTATCACATATAAATAGCACGAATGCAATACTCAAGAAGTTAACTTGTGTCAAATTCTGTGTAATCTGTGCCTTTTTTAACCTTGATATAGGACTAATGTCTGAAATGTTATTATAGATCCAACCTTTTTAAAGGGGGCTTTCCATTAAGTCAATATAATACAATATAACCAAGAGCTGCTAGTTCTGAAATGTTACACGTCAGTTTTTTTAACTGGACCAACTCGGCCCAAACCGTTTTTAAGAACTGACGGCATCATCTGAGAACTGGCTGCTCAATTCAACTTAATGGCAACATCCAAAGTCTTCTTCTATTTCACTTGTTGTATTCAACACACCAACACAGTCCCAACTAGTAACCACTAGTCATTCTTATTCACTTG